GCTAAAAAGCAACTACTATGTTTTCAAAACTTGTAAATCCAACATGTCTTTTCTGTTTTCTAGGCCAAAGAATGTCAACTACATGGTATTGAAAAAGTATGTATGAAAAGTGCTTGGACGACATCTTTTAAAGACATTTTGTAATGCAGCTTTTCTTCTATTCTCAGGATTCTTGGAGTGAAGAAAAAACAGCCAAAATGAATGAGTTGATCTCTGAAGATGTAATYCTTGAGGTAACTGAACTTTTTAACAGAAAACAATAAAGAATAGAAAAGTAATGAATGGATTTTACAGTAGTTTATAATAATGCACTGTTTTGATTCAGGTAACCAARCATGACGCAATACCAACTGTCAAGATTTACCTGACGACGGAAGATAACGTACAAATCAATATTGTGGATTAYGTCATGGATGAGCTGTCAACATCCAAGTAAGGACAGCCTTTTGCAAAGGGTTTATCTTGATTTTGTATCTGTTTGTCTTCAGTTGTTGTTGCTGCTGCTATTGTTGTTGTTGTTATTTCTGCTGCTGTTGTTGTTGCTGTTGTTGTTATTTGTGTTTGCTGTTGTTATTTGTTTTTCAATTGTTATTATTGTTGTATTGGTTCTGTACTTCTGTGGGTTTCAATTGATGTTTTCTTCTTCTAAAAGTCCAGTTAGAGTGAGACTTTTATCAAGTCTAAGGTGGACTGACTGAGTTTCCCACAATATTTCTTATCAATAATACTAATCATTAAACAAAGTGAAAGGACTTGGTCTAAGTCATACTGAAGCGATTACAACATTTCACAACCGTGAACTTTCAACCTGTCTGTTTCCAGGAGTGATAGCTCCCTTGGTTCAGCCGAACCCGACCAAACAGAGAAAGAATCTTCATCTCAAGACGACGATCAAGATGACTCAACACCAGACCTTCCCCCACCAATTAAGCTATCACGGCCATGGGTGGATGTGACTATATCTGATGTCATAGATCCTGGTCACTTCATGGTATGCTATGTTTGATACAGGAAATAAAACCAGTTTTCATCCCATCAATSAAAGATCCGAATCTCGACGAACTTCTGTCAAGAATCAGACCTCATCAAAACCGAACGAACTCTGCGCATTCACTTCTAACAAACCTCAGCGACCCGGGGGGGGACACCCTAATAAAAAAGGGAGGGGGGTCTCGTTGTCCCTTTCAGGGTTTGAATTCAGTGTTTCGGTCCCGCTTAGGGTGATAATGACGAGAATTCCCACCAACTGAGTTTTGTGGACCCTTTTAGGGTATACGACGACCCGAACCGTCATCAAATATCCCCCCCCCCTCATCCCCCCTCCCCCGGGTTCAGCGAACTTTGGAGTTTTGATTGACGGTGCTTAGCGGTAAACCTTTGGATAATTTGCGAAATTTTAGTAGTTGAAATACATTAATGGCTGATTACATTTGATCTACATGATATTTGATTGGATAGTTTCAGCCATTGGAGATGATAAAGCAGTTAGAAGAACTAAACAAGAAAATGACAGAACATTACAAGGTGAATGAATAAACGATTGAATAAATCACGTACATAGTTAAATACACTTAACTTGCCAATGAATCATAGCGTGAATTAATGACCGAACATTACAAGGTGAATGAATAAACGATTGAATAAATCACGTAGATAGTTAAACTTAACTTG